ATGGTCCGAAATTCTTATAATTGAACCGATTTAGCAAGAAAGAACACAAATGAGATAGCTGGAATGAATAGAAGGAAAGCTGTGAAAGATAACCTTCAAGGATAACAAAAAAGAATAAAAAGACAAATGAAATAAAAAGCTAACGAATAACCACAACCTACCAGCTTCAATAGCAGGCTCTCCGTTTTCGAAGAACTGCAAAGCGATTCTCTCGATAACTAGAGAGAAAAGATTGAAGAAAGGTAGAATCGTGATCAACACAAGGCTCTAGAAGTAAGAACATCAGCTCCAGAAATAACGCCAAACCTTGAATTAGACGAAATTATCGTGATACCTTCTGATAGTATCCACGATGAATGGAAGCATCTTTTTGCTGTCGAAAATGCACAAATCCATAAAGATAGCTGGGATCAAATGAAGCCGCATGGGAAGAGCACTCTAAGAGTGTCCTTTGAGAGGAAGTGATTTCAGTCGTTCCTCTGAAAAGGAAAACCGCGTGGACAAAACAATCTGGAAGTATTTAAAAGTTGAGAAGTATTGCTAGCATTTTAACCTTCTTATGCGGAAATGGAAATTCGTGTCCTTGGTATTACCACTGTTCGAGTCCGGGAATGCCAAGTAGCAGATATTCGTCTTTTCTTGCGTGCTCAGAACTGCGTCACCTGGGTAGATCACCTAAATCACAAAAGATATGAACCGTAACAACGAGAAGATTAAACATCTTTGAATTATTATGGATTCCCTTCGTTGACACTGCGAATACAAAGAAGTTGGAGACCATAAGATATGATACTCCACTACTTTCATTTCATGTTCTGAATGAAGCTAAATTACCATACAACACTAGAAAATCTTAACTTTTTTTGGATTCAGATAACATTTTCCCCCTACAACTTTCTGTACTCAGTCTTTCCAAAACACCCACTTCTTCCCATTCACATTATTTGGAATTTACCCGTATTTTCAATAATTACTACTTGAGCAAACTGGCTTATGACGGTCAAACGCATTCTACCATTTCAAGAGAGAGATTCTATGAAAAAAAAATGATCAAATATCAAAAACACAAGCTTCAGAAAGCGGATGACAAAGAAATCATGTAAAAAGTAGCGCCATACCTCAAGAGCCTGTCCCAACTCCAAATCGAATGTGACCACACACAGATCGAATGCACCCAATCATTGAAACGTTCCCATGGCGGCCAGTCATTGCCAGCCATTGTTAAAGGCTACCAAACTCTGAAAAGTGCAACAGTAACTTCCTGGATAATCGCAAATATAAATTACGCCCATTGAACGGAAAATGCCTGACGTAAGGATGAGGCAGGATTATTGGATCTGAGCGCGGGTCGCTTCATCGACCGAAAGCCAAAGGATTATGCTAACAAATTAGAGGCACATCCAAGTCAGAAGACGGCAACCAAATTAAGGATTTCGCCAAAATTAGAAATGAAGGAAAGAGCAAAGGCAAGTGTACACATTGAGAATGAATGGCACATCGCAATGACGAACGATGTATTATTTCGATCGAGCACTCGGTAAATAAGAACAAACATCAAAATACTGAGCAGATGTTCGAGTAATAACAAATCACAGCTGTGACGCAAGCATGTCAGAGATAGTATACATGACATTCCGCAAGCAACAACAACAACAAGCATTATACGACTATTCCTACACGCCTACACCAATTTCCCTGCTATTACACCTTTGATTATCGCTTAAAAAGTAGAATAGCGATCTTATCAAGATTGTTTGAATGGAATTCCGGCACGACTACGATAACCACCCTAGAATGGCAAAAAATTCAAAACCAAGTCCACAAAGGTGTCGTGATTATACTTAAAGCAACAGATGCAGCAGGGTTTTTACCTTCGACACTAATGGTGTGGAACGATGCGCTAGCCCTAGTCAAGAACATAAGAAGTGTGACTGAACAAAAAACTCACCTTGGAAAGCCGCTAGAAAGGGAGCTGAACGGCTTCGAAGTGGGCGTGGTTGGAATCGGCCGAGGGATTGCAGCCGACTGAGCAACCACGCCCACTTCGAAGCCGTTCAGCTCCCTTTCTAGCGGCTTTCCAAGGTGAGTTTTTTGTTCAGTCACACTTCTTATGTTCTTGACTAGGGCTAGCGCATCGTTCCACACCATTAGTGTCGAAGGTAAAAACCCTGCTGGGACTGTTGCTTTAAGCCATTGGATTTGGTGCTGGCTTCATTTGACATCATCCGTGACAGATTAGATGCCAAAAATGAATGTCGTATTCGTTATATAAGTCATTTAAATGTGTATCAGAAATAAGGAACATTCGTGGGAACTTGAAAAATCGTAATTGAAGTGGTACAGTGGAAGTTCAGAGCATTGAAGAAAAGAAATAAAATGAAGCCAGTTTCACAAAAAGATGATGTCAATCAAGTGGCATTATACGATAGTAATAATACAATGATTAATAGGATGGTTACATGAGGATTATGCAAACCCCAGTGTTTTCTGTGAAAAATGAATGAATTGCAAACAAACCAGTAAGCTCCCGTGCTTTCCTTACTATTCAGAAAAAGGCTGAAAGAAAGAAACCAAAATATGACTTTGGCTAAAAATGGGTCGTAAAGTTGTGTACTGCTCTAATAACCTGTAACCTGGAAAACTTAGGCTTAAAAGGTGAACCTGCGCCACTGAAAAAAATGAGTTCCCCTATACGCCCAGGCCCATTCCAGAAGAAATGCAGATGAAGGCAATGAAAGCGAAGATGAGCACATCGACTAAGGACTACTTCCGAGCGAATCTAATTGCATAGGCAACATGATATTCTCTCAACTTTCCCTATTCCTGTTCGCTGGCGGTGTTTGTTACGCCTCTTAGCACGTCGCGCTTTCCTTCACCGTCACAACAGCGATTACGGCGCGAATCCACGAAACTGGTACGCTATTACTGAACCGGTTCAAAAGCACTTCCACTAC